AAATTCATAGGCCTGGCAACGGTTAACCCAAAAACAACGGATCTAAATTGGCGGAACCCAAAAGAAAGGGGAGGACTAAAGGATACCCAGTGAACTTGATGTGTCGCCTTTATTACAGATTAACACAACTTTTGAAGAATATAAAATACTTCCTTAAAATGGGGTAACACTAGGGTAATAGAATGGGAACAGTAAGATGTGGAAATATTAAAATAACATTTTTGTTAATTTATTTATTGCTTTGTGTTAATTGAAGTCCAGGAGCTTCAAAGCTACAATTATCAGCTAGCAACCTTATAGTTTTGAGATCATGAAAACTATTTATTAGTTGAAAACCCTTCTGTATTATATTTAACTTGGTTTCAAAGCATTATCTTTGCTTTAAATTTTAGATAAATGTCTTGAACAAAGACGCTTACCACTGAAAATTGTAATGCAAAAGAAGCATGAACAATTAAAAAACATGTAACCTAAACTTAACAAATTTAATTCTTTGAAGAAATATTTATTTTAATGCAACTATGTAGCATGTAATCCGTAACATATTAAGAGTTGAATACATATCCACCCTGTAGTCGAACACGCCCTTCCGGGTAAAATATGCCACCGTGCAAAAGCATATGTTCGCATTGCATACTTGAGGGCGCATTTGATTAGAGCCCAGCGAGGCGTGAGTATTTAATTTTGTTGTTCGGTCGCTGCGCGTTTTGACACGCGCAAGTCGAGAGCACATAATTAAATTAATTAGAGAGTCGTTCCCACAGGTAATCCCCCACCACCTCCCCCGTCATCACCCTGCAATTCGCTCCAGTCCGATCCAATCCAATTCATTTGCCGCTCGGAGTTTTGATGCTCACTCGCAGTGACAGGCGACACACTTTGCTCGGTGGGTGGCCGGAGCTGCCGGCAGGTTGATGGGTGGTGCGGGGGTGCCAGTGGGCGGTGGGCGGTGGGTTAGAGGTGGTTGCCAAGAGAACACTCGCATATTGCAGAACTTCGGCTTTGGGCTTCGGCTTTACCTTTTAATGAAATTCCTGACCAATGTTTGTTTTGCTTAGATCACCATGGCGATTCCCCTTTTCCGCTCCCCCAACTCATGACCTCCAGCCGTATATATGGGTGTATATCTGGCCGATCGGCACGTGCCTGGAACTCAAACACAGGTTCCGCATAATTTTTCCCAAGAATGAAAGCATAAACGAACCGTTTTTTTCGCTCGCCCACCCTGGTGGCCATCATAATCGGCTTAATCGTAATGAACTGCAGGCGTCATTATGGTGCAAGTGCAGTTTCTGACTCGGTTTATTTTTGTTTTTTTATCGGGGGAAGTGGGGAGCTTGGAAAGGGGCAAACACCCACATAGACCGCTGTCCGAGTCTTTGTTCGACTTTGTTTTCCGATTTTATTCGAGCTCCGATGAATGCTCCCTCTGGCCTTGTTGATTCATAAAACGCGAGTTTATTATGCATATTTTTTTATGGAACCACCACAGTAGTGCTTTAATGATCTTCTGACCATAAAATCGGGTCCCAAAAACGAATATATATTTGGTTAATGCCCCAAGGGCTCAGCTGGATGAAAAGCACAATTTTGTATGATTTACGATCGATTCAGTTCGATTGATATGGGATCCCTGGAACAGCTGATTGTCTGGGGTTACCCCATAAATATTTGTGCAAGTGGAAAATGTGTTTTCCGTAGGAAATGCAATACCTTGAATGTTGTTGTTGATTTTCCATTTATTCCGCTAGTTTCTGGGGAACTAAATCAGTGGAAACCGGACCAAGGAAAGCCAAGTTCGGTTTTGTCTATGAAGCACTTTAATTGCCGCAGCGTTTCATTCAAGATTTTCGGAATTCAGTTCCCCCCAGCCACAAAATGGAAAAAAATGGACTGCATGGCAAACTCTTCGTGCCAACATGCAGTTGAAGTGCGAATTCTTTTGCAACTCGCAGCTCCTTGCATCGTTTTGCTGTATATTTAACAAATGTGTTCAGATCTCCATGGCTCAGCAACATTTTTGACGAGTGGAGGAATGCCTCAGGCGATTGGCATGTGCTGACAAACGAGAAACTTCCCCAATCAGCAAGGCGGGGAAAAGTGACCCAATTCGCTGGCTGGCCAGTCGAGTGACGCATTCCGCGACGACTTTTGAACCGGAGAGGAGAACTTGAGCCCGCCGTTGGGAATCCAGCGGAGTGACAGCCAACAAGCCAACAAGCAATCCAATGTCCCGGAGTCGGCGGCCAGAACCGAATCCTTATCTAGATGTCGCAGGCCCAGATCAAGTTGTAAGAATGCGAACATGGCAACAAATGCGCTCGACTCAGGTGTTAAAACTTTTGCATTAAAATGGCGCCCGGGCAACAGGCCTTGATCCTGGCTAGCTCCCCTCCCCTTCCCTCCCGCTTCCTTTCCCATTCGGGTAAAATTAATACAACACTCGGGGAGGTCCGGGCCGATCAAAACTGAACGTAAATCTTAAACACTTTCGGGATCCCCGCCCTCCTCTCCAGCGATTCTGCGATACTCCATTGTGCAGCAGGCTGTTGCAGTCGCACGATCAGCACGTTCGGTTCCGGAGGGACTTGCACTTCAGGGGGCGGAGGGTGATCTCCAGAGAGACCAAGGAGACCAGGGAGACCGGTCCACCGGCCACGACAAATGTGCCAGTCTCAGCAAGCAGCCAGACCGCAGAAGTATCTGCAAATGCAGCGAATTGTGCGCAGATTTGTTTACAGAAGACTCCTCTCGCGGGTCGAGGAGTTCGCGGGGAGTGGGTTGATCATCGTAGATATAATTGACGACATGTTGTCTCACGATCGTGCCAAAGCGATTAAAGCAAATTTAATGCCCAACTCAGCGAATCATTTCCTTAAAAATGCCCAAGAGGTCGCCGGGGTCTTGCTCAATTTTCAGTTGGAAAAGTCCAGCCGAAATGCCAAAATCAAATTAGGCTTCACTTTTGATTTCACTGTTCCTTGATTTGTTGAGTTTATTGCCAGAATTCCATTGCTTATGACTGGTTGCATATTTGTTTAACTGCACTTGCTTCTGCTTATTTGTAATTCCATCCAGGCCCCTGCGTCAGTCTTTGTTTAGACGTTCCGGCGAAAAATTAAGTGTTAAATCAATATAAATTGTTTACTATAAAAACATTCTGCCTGCATATTGCTTGCACTTGATGGAGACAGCTTTCCTCTATAAATAAATACTAAACCTTAATAGTCAATAAAACTTTTCATTTATTTAAAGTGAGACATTCATGTTGAGGAGAGGGTTTAAAAAATGGTGTTAGTATGTTTATACATAGTTCAATTTAATTTGGCATTGCTTTTTAGGCTTAAGGTATTAAATTGCGTCGTTAGTCACGAACTTTTCTTCTCGTTGCTTAGCAATGAATTAATATTTAACACACTTTCCTAAAGAATATTGTAGTTTACAACTTTTTAATTGGCACGGTAGTAGTAATGCTTCTCTAGCTTACTATTTTAATGTAGATCAAATTAAACATAATGCATTTTCATTGCTATGTTCTTGTACTCGTAACTCAATTTAACTGTTTTTCTTTTACGATTTAATTAAATCAAATTTAGTTAGTTTGTGTGTTGTTATTCTAAGAGTTAAAATAGTTTGATTAAATCAATTTTAAGTATGTATATAAAACTATAAGTATAATTATACATTTTTGTATGTAAAAAAAGGCTTGTCCATCAAAATATACTTTTTTATATAAATTAATGTATTGGTGACTGTTGAGTTTTAAATGTCAGAAACAACAAACACTGCAAAATGTAATTCTAAAATTTCTTTTCCCTGGGATTCCCCATAATATAAACAGCTTGGTTTTTATGCATATTACTAGTTTTAAATTCGTACCGAAATTAAGTGAATAGCTTAATTTATTAACTGTTAATAACAAGCTCGGGGGGTAATAAAAGTTATAATAAAAAGTACTTTATTTATTGTAAACCATAGAAAAAAAGAAATTTATAAAAAAATTCTTTCCCCGTTAGTTCCCAACGATTGCGTTGAGCAGCTTTAATTTGTGCTCATCCAGTTTGGGCACTTGGCATCTTTAATCCGAGCTCATTAGTGGTGCTCCACCATCGTGTTTATGGCACCCAATTACCATCGAAAGTGATTCAGCGTGCACACAAAGGGGCCCTGTGATTTTGATTAGATGCCAATTTGTTTATGGCACTCGCTGGTCTGGCCGGAGATCAGATATCCCATATCGCGTATCGGTTCGACTATGGCCAGCACACTTTGGCTCGCCTTACATAAGCGATTCGATTTGGGAGCTCCTTCTCCTCCTTCTTCCACAGTGAACTCGAAAAACCGCCGAAGCCAATAAGTTTTGGCCGGCTTAAATTACCCGAGATTTTCGTTTTGGTGTTTACGACTGCCATAAAATTTCCGGCGGTTTCCATTGAACAGCCTGAGAAACTTCATCTGATTAGCTTATTAATTTGTGTGTAATGTGTGCTCGAATGGTGGCCGAATTAATTTATTCATTTATGCGTATTATGCCTTCCCAAACGCACTTTTCAAATGGCGTTTGCCCAGCTGCAAAAACTCATCCACATCCACAGCCACATCTACAATGGGCATTGTTCGCCCGCATCCGCATCCGAGAGATACGAGGAGAAAAGAAGACGGCAAACTTTGGGCCAAGTAGCGGGCTGTGGAAAAGTGGTTTCGACCCACCCTTCGGTGGTGCCATGGCCTGCTCTCGGTTTCCCCGATTTGGGGAACGGGAATGGGCGGAGTCTCGAGCGGTTTTCTCAACGAGGGTGGGAGAGAGAAAGAGGGAGCGAGAGAGAGAGGGAGAGAGCTGCTCGGCAGTCGCACTGCTCGCACGAACTCGTTTCGAGTGCCGGTGGCAAAATCCAATGCAGGCACTTCCAGTTCCACTCAAACTGCGCTGCCGCGTCGCTGCCGACGTCGCGATGAGCCAAAAGTCGGGTGGTTCGGTTATTCAGTCGATTCGAGCCACTCAAAGCGAGCGCTACGGGAAACGGGCGACGTCCATCCGGCCGAACCGCAGTTCATCCACTCTATCTATCCACTTGCAAAAAAGATACAAGATACAAGATACTTCTCCCCGTTCGTTCGTTCGTTCTGAAAAGCCAATCAATCGAAGCGGCATTCGATTTCAAAACAGCAGAAAATCACCCAAATCGGTTCGATCCTCCGCGAGTGAACGTTCCTAGTGAAAGTCGGCGCAATGGTCACCCTAATGCCATATAACTACGCCGCCCCGCGATGCGGATTAATCGACAAGATGATCGAGCCAAAGGTAATCAAATAGTCGTTGGGATTTTCGCTCCTCGCGAAGCTTTAAAAGTGATGTGGTCGAGCCTGCCAGCCGTCGGTTATTGTTATTGTTATTGTTATCGTTACTGTTAGGCTTATGACTACGGTTATGGATGTCGGCGGTAGCTTCCTTGGCGGTTGCATTGTGGGGCTTCCCCCACTCGCAACTACTATCCAAAAAGTGAAACTCTACTGCCGTCATTCAGCGGGACACTAATATATGTACGAGCAACAGTTTAGCAGGGTTTAAGGTGATCTATTGGGCGGCATGATATCATAGCACACTTCACAAATAAATCTGGTCCAGCTTGACAACTTAAGATGTCGTTCGATTTGATAAAACAGCGAACATAAATCTAGCAGATACACTCAGGAAAATCAACTAAACCCCGAAAAAGGTGATATTCCCAAGTATTAAACATAATTATGGAATGTTCCTGATCCACAGAGGATTTCGTGGTCGTAACCCAAACAAAACAATTTAAAATACCCCAAAGATGGTTGGCTCTTTGTTGAAAAATCGTTAATGGGGATAACGATTATGGGCACCTGACCACAATTTTATTACACAGCATTAATCGGCTTAACTTCGTGGGTCGTGGGCAATGAAGCAGGCAAGTCAAGTCCCGAAGGTCTTAAAAAACCTCCAATAGACCACGTAAATTGTTGCCAACTTTTGATGATCTGTGAGCTGCATTCCCCTTCGGATAGCATGAATTTCTTTACCAATTAATGAGACGCTCTTTCGCTGGAATTCCGATGCAAAGTTTGCCCCAGATCGGCGCAAAGTTCGTTCGTTCGTTTCCCGGTGATTTAATGGAACAGCACACCGAAGCCAGCGACAGGGTTTTATGGGTCCATGAGCTTATGCTAAGACAAAGTCAAATCGAGTCGAACCGGGGAAAACGTGACGATCTCGAAGAGCCCGTAGAGAGTGTGTCGCCAGGAGGAGCTGGGTGCACTGGTGCACTGGTGGTTAATGCGAAATATTAATAGAGCATAAATTACAGCGCTAGCAGGCCGCGGTGCCGGCTTTATGGGAATTTAAAGAGCCTGGCCCACAAAAGCCGAGCTGGGCTTCGGCCGGCCAGCGGCATTAATCACATTTTAATTAAGTTTAAGCCGTAATCGTAAAAATTAACACGCCATAATTCAACTGCGACAATACGCGCTGCATGTAATTTATGACAAAGAGAATTCTCGCATCGCAGAGTCGGGGGGGAAGTGGCTAAAAGGGGGAAGTTGGTAGGAGGGGGAGCGGGGAGCGGGGAGCGGGGGAGGAGTCGAAATATTGATTATGGCCACTGCGATTGACACTCGGCGATTGTTGATTATACTACCAAGATGCCAAGATTGTGGCCCAAACGTAATTAACGTGCCAAAGTGTTAAGGTGCGGGGCTAGGTTCCATCCATCCATCCATTCCGACCTCGCGGAGAAACAAATTTTCCTCTTGTTTATTTTGATGTTTATCGCGGGAATCGGGAACCGTGGACGTGGGGTCGAAGGGAGCGGGAGGGGAGGGGGAGGGGTTATGGGTCTTAGGGCCGGGTTAATAAAAAATTTGTCGCCGTCTTCTTGTCTTGCTGCCTTGTCTTTTGTTCGCCAGAGTGTGTGTGTCTCTCAATATGTGTGTGTGTGTGTGTGTTTTAATCTTCTTCTAAAGCAGCAGAAGAGACAAAGAGATTACGATCACAGGAATTTCGTTAAAGATGCCCACAAACAGGTCTTTATACCGCATATCGCCCTCTCTTTCCCACTCGCAGGCGCAGGAGGACCAGCCTCCCTGCTCAACTGTTGTCTGTGTTAATGTTTACGTTGTCAGCTTGCGCCATAAATTAGTTTAGTAAAAGGTTGCATTTGGCTCTGTTCCTCTCTTTTCTCCACCCGGCTCCCGGCTCCTCCTCACTGTCTCATTTTTGCATACAACTCGAACCCCGACTCGAATTCGGCTGCTCGTGCAGCACGCAACGCCGCAGATTCGCGGCTCCGAGTCGCAACTCCATGCGCATCGCGTCGAAACGCTACCGTTCGCTCGCCAATCTGTCCGTTTGTCCGCCTGTCCGCTTGTCCGTTTGTCCGCCTGTCCGTTTGTCCGCTGCGCATGCGCGTGTTCCTCTGGTCCGTCGACAAATTTGATCCCGCCCCCTCTGCATCCTGCCCCTTCGCGATCGCCGGATGATGGACAGTGCGTGCGTGTGGTCATCTCGCCGGACGGCAGAAGCTGTCAACCGAAGCCGCTCAACTTTTCTGCTTCTTCCCCTTTTCCCCTCTCCTGATTTTTCGGGGCTTTTTTTTAAGGGGGGAGAGGGGCAGGAATTCCTGTACCTGGGCTTCCCCTTCCCGGCTGTCCGCCTTCGATTTATCTGGCTTCCGTTCGACTTGCATATGCATCTTTCCTCAGTATTCGCTTTCTTGGCATTTGTCAAAGTTATGTTATTATTTAGTGTCCGTCGATTGGGGGTTGCACCTTAAATTTCTTTCAAACTTTTTTATAAAGTAAACCCAAAATGACTGAACCCATCAGTATTTAAAGAGTATTCGATGTTCTTGAACCACCAAATTCGAATTTAAATTTGAAATTTACTGTATCAAAATACTTCAACTTCATAGAACTAGTCACTTGAATATAGTTTGCGAATGTTAAAGTCTTTACTGGAAAAACTGCAGCTCGGTAATGTAGATTGCACCATCTTATCTTAAGAAGATTTTTTATAGCCTACCTTTTTGCATTTTCTAAGCTCTTTGATCAAAAGCAAATGCAAGAAATTTACTTGCTTCGCATATAATGCACTCTCTGGAAATCCCTTTATCACCCAAAGCTTTATTCATTCAGGATGCCTTGAAAAAACCCCTCCTAGCAACATCCCTATCTTAATCCGTCGCCACCTGCTGATTGGGTCTTGGCCGATCCGATCGCCCCCCGTTTTCGACTTCCCCTAAATGGCGCCGCACATCCGAAACACTTCAGCCCAGAAACCGAGACAGAAACTGAAACAGAAAAACTTTTTCCCACGCACAAGCCGAGCTGCGAAATTCGCTTGGCGCAGCAGCAAATGGCGATTGCGAATTATGTAAAATTGGCTGTTTTCTTTCGCCACTCGCAGTGGACAACTGGATAACCCAAATAGAGTTTCAGGCGGTGGAAGTGCCGAGCTCAGCAGGGCGACTCCAGACGCTGAGGTGTGAGGTGCGGGGAGGGGGTTGTTTATAAACAAATTACCTCGAGGGCCAGCGAGAACCCGACTGACGGATTTTGCATAACTCGTGCTAAGCCATCGAAATAAACATTTACTTTTGGCATAATTCTATTAATAACTTGATTTGTTTTTCTTGGATTATTTTCAGGTTAAACGTCCCAAGACAGAGCACACGGATACACATGAACGCAACCGGTACGTCTAAATTATAGTTAACTAATAATAAATATGATTAGTTGAATAAAATATAGAAATTCTAAGGATTATAGGTCCAATTTTAATATAAATTTAGAAATATTTTTGAACACATTCTTCCCAAACTAACTTCATTCAAGGACCTCGAAAAGGTTCCAATCTGTAAGCGTAGACAATTTGTAACTGAAAAGAAGGGACACCCTCACACTTGACCAGAGGCGCACCATCTTCAATTGGTTTCGATTGAAAAGAGACTAGAGTCCTCGAGCGAAATATGGAAGTGTTTTGCATGTGGCCCTCACAACCTGCCACATGCCCCGGCAGAAATTCAAAGAATTTTGTGCACGCTTCAGCTGTGACACAGAAGAAATCCCGAGATCTCGAGATCCGAAAAAAGAAAAGAGAAAAGGGAAAAGGCGAGCCGAAAAGTGTCAGAGCACTTAACACTTGCGAGGGCAGGAAAAGAGCGGAGTTCCTCGGGGAGGAGGTCCGTTCCCAACTACTTAAAAGGGGCTTAAGGCGGCAACAGTTGCGGCTTAGTCCCAAAGACCTCTTCCTCACCCTCCGCCTGCCTCTTTGATGATTTCCATTATTATTCGCGTAAATCTCCCATTGGCGGAACACCCTCGCAGATCCCCAAACCGAAGTTTTGGTTGGTTTTCCCCCTCGCTACAGCGCACGCGTCGTTTCTCGTTGGGAAAACGCTTTTCCCCTCTTCGCCAGCTGCTCCCCCTGCTTCATTTTCCCCTTGCTGTGGCTGCCAACAAGATAAATGACCCCCTTCTCCGGCCGAGAAAAAATCTCAAGGTGTCAGATTCCTTTGGAAATTGGGCACTTAATTTACCTTCCTATTAAAATTATGAAAAATTGTTAAATATCTCCCAAGCCGGATGGGGGAAGTTGGGTAAATATGGGATAAGTAGGGAAAGGAACTCAGGCGAAAGATAAATTAAAGTAAAGGAAAAGGGTGCTTAGAAATAAAATAATACAAATTTGGATATTGGATACGGTCGTAATTAAATCTAAAGTGAAAATTATGTTACTTAAAACAAACATAGTTTAGTCATTTATGGATCAGTATAAAATACCTCTTATATAATGTTTGTGTACCCAGCTGCCAGCTGATTATATAACGGTTTATTTTTGGGGAGCCAACGAAACTCCACTTAATTGCACTGAAAAGGATTGAATTACTCCCCATTTTTCTCCCCACTTCCCTCGAAAAAATCGATGGGCTCAAACATTTTTCATTGTTTTGATTTTCTCGTTGCGGTGATTTATTTGACTTTCCATTGGTGCTCAGTTTTATTTGATTTTTATTGAGCCCTTTAGGATTTTCGAATTTGTCCACTTAATTTGGTCCTACTTGAAAAGCAATAACGCCGGAATAACAGAGAGAAACATCAAAACACAAATCGTAAAACATGAAACAATATTTGTCGCCGGTCCTCGGTAATTCAACATTTGCTGAACACATGGCCGCAAAGGGAAGGAGGGGGAGGGGCAGGGGTCACCGAAGGAGGCAACGGGACTTGTCCGGGACTATCCGCACATGCCACCAAATGCGAACCCAACGAGCCCCTTCTCAAGTGCCCCGAAACGATTTCAAACGATTTCCTTTCCTCATCGCGACGATCCTCAGTCCTCAATCCCAGTAAACAACCCAAAAAAAAGGAAAAAATACAGGAAGAGCGGGACGGCGAGATCGTAGAAAAATATTTATAACACTTGACAGGATTTGGACGACCACTTCGGTCGGGACTTGGGCCGGGAAACACTTGACTCGGTCTCTGGGGCACAGAAAACAACCGGGGAACCCAAAAGCGACGAACAAGGAACGACGACTTGCCGTTAATTTAATGGCTGTTTAAAGATTATTGGAAATTATTTTATGGGTTTCCCTAACGAGCCTAAGATTCTGTGTTTTTCTTCTCTCCCACATATGTACTTCTTGGACTTTATACGCACTATATTGAATCCTGAATCAGTTCCTAAGAAAGTCTCCATTTTGCCTTATTAGGTTTTTCATACGATATAGTTTGGGGTTTAAATTTTTTTAGTATGGTTGAGATTTTAAACGGTGAATCAGTGGTTTTAAACAAGGTATAGTTCATAAGGTTTGCTCATAATTTAATGGTTAATTTGTTATATTTGGTCGTATTGTTTGAGTTTCGGGCTATTTATACGTTGAACAAAGCTATAAAATTGGTTGCTTAAAAAATGAGCACAAATATAAATCTATCTATATATATAAAAGCAAGTTGTGTTAGTTCCACCACTTATAACTTAAGAACGGCTGAACAGATTTGGCTGAAAATTGGTAGGAAGGTAGCTTAGAGCCCGGAATAGGAGTTAGGGTACTTTTTATTCCGTTCGACATACCAAAAATCGCATATAAACTGAGTTATTACCTCATCAAACTGACAAGCACACACTACCATAGCATTTTAACTCAATTTTTTTAAAGTGAGTAGAAATTATTTGTGATTTTGGTGAATTGAAGTGAAGTGAAGTTTTTCGTGCTTTTTGTGAATTGAAGTGAAGGGAAGTTTAATTAATAATGCCGCGACCAAGACGATCGAATTTTTCCCGACAAAGCCGTAATGCAAGAAGACTACAAAATACTGCAAATGGAAGGTCTGAAGAAGACCAAAACATTGAACGTGAACAGAACCGCGTTAGAATAGGTCGACTTCGTGCTTCTCAATCAGCAGAGCAAAGAGAGGCAATCCGTAATACGGCTCGGTTGACAATGCAGAATCGTCGAGCTTACAACAGAGGTCAAGAAATAGATCATTTGCGACGCAGAAGAAATTTATCAAGTGCTGATTTGAATCGAGCAGCGTTTCAATACGATTGCATCACTGATTACAGCTTGCATCCTAGCGTTTGCATTGGGCAAATGGACGTTGTTTGCGAGTATTGCGGTGCACTGAAGTTTTCCGGAGAAACGCCTGGATTATGCTGCTTTAATGGTAAAGTTAAATTGCCATTGTTGACTACCCTAACTCCTATTCCGGGCTCTAAGCTACCTTCCTACCAATTTTCAGCCAAATCTGTTCAGCCGTTCTTAAGTTATAAGTGGTGGAACTAACACAACTTGCTTTTATATAGGGGAATGTCGTCAGGGTTGGACACATTTTCGACCCTTGCCTATAATTATCGTTTTAATAAGAATTAAGATCATTTGAGTAAATAGTTTGAAAGGTAAAGGCAAAAGGTATGTCTGACAATGAGCACTATGTTGTGGAATGAAAAACATAGAAATGGCGAGTATTTAAAAAAAAAAAAAATGTAGTCAGGCTTGGACACTGTAGTCAGGGTTGGACACTTGAATTGCTACTTCAGAAAAGTAGCAATAAAAGAGGACATTATCCATGGATCAGGTGTATTTTATGTCTTTTGACTCTTTTTTATTGTGATCAACAAATTTTACAAACAATTAGGACAAACAAAATAACTTTTTCAGGGTCTTCTCGAGATCGTCGTCAGTAACAGTAGAAATGTCCTCATATTCTTCATCTACAATACTTTTTTAATATATCGCCGCAAAGTCGTTCTAGGCAGGTCATAAGCCCTTGCTACTGTCTTTAACTTTCCTTTCTCCAACTTAACTGCTTTAATGGCCAGGACAGCATTATGCAAGTCGACTTTACCTCCTTCCGTCGTTCGCTTGTAGCGTGAACCTCCTCAAAGGGAGAAAATAAATTATTACTCAAAGAATTTATTTTTTTTTACTTATTTACTAATTATTTCACTTTTTGTTGAATCAAGTAATTAATTACCACTGTAATAACTGTAAAAAACATTGGAAAAATTAAAATATTCTGACAAAAGGGAAAAAACCAAGGGTGTCCAACCTTGACAACAAAAAGTGTCCAACCCTGACAACATGAGTCATAACCCTACCGCACAACATAACTACCAAATCGCTTTATTTAGAACAAATTTTTTTTTAGGATTTCGTTAAGGGGGAACCACTTAACGTATTTTTAAACTTACCCTGCGGATGGCATATTTTCCGCTGAATTATGCCACTTTTTTAGCGCGTTCTTGAATACTTTTTTCTTCACTATCACGACACTATGTCAACAAAACAGGAAAATTAACAGTTATGGGATGCGGCTAGGGATGAAAAGTTTCCCACAGTGATAACAATTAATACCACATTCGCACACAGATGGCGATAGTTGGGTTATTAGAAAAATTGCAAGTGTCCGACCCTGACAACTGTCCAACCTTGACGACATTCCCCTATATAGAAGATTAATAGATTAATGAAGGCAATCGATGAAGAAAATGGTGGTTTATATTTCCTAGATGCCCCTGGTGGAACTGGCAAGACATTCCTTATGTCATTAGTTTTAGCAACTGTTCGGGCGAGATCCAACATAGCTGTTGCAGTTGCTTCTTCTGGAATAGCAGCCACATTGTTAGAAGGATGCCGAACGGCTCATTCAGCATTAAAATTACCGTTAAATCTTCAAATTATTGAAGAACCAACGTGTAATATTGCAAAACACTCAGCAATGGCCAAAGTATTAATGGAATCGAAAATCATCATCTGGGACGAATGCACAATGGCGCATAAACGTGCATTAGAAGCACTTAACCGAACATTAAAGGATTTACGCAATGACTCGAGATGTTTTGGAGGAGCAATGATTTTACTGTCTGGCGATTTCCGCCAAATACTGCCAGTAATTCCAAGATCTACGGCTGCCGACGAAATAAACGCTTGCCTGAAATCGTCAAATCTATGGGGATATGTGAAGAAACTACAGCTGACAACAAACATGAGAGTTACATTGCTTAATGATACATCTGCTGAAGATTTCTCGAAGCAATTGCTGACTATCGGCAATGGTCAAGTACCTGTCGATGAATCGAGCGGACTAATATCATTTCCAAATAATTTTTGTAATTTTGTCTCATCAAAAGAGGAACTTATCAACAATGTATTTCCAAACATTATTTCTAACTACAAAAATAAGGAATGGTTGAGTGAGAGAGCCATTTTAGCGGCTAAGAATAAAGATGTTGATGACCTGAACTACATAATTCAAAATAAGATCATTGGAACAATGCATTCATTCAAATCTATTGACTGCGTCACAAATGAAGATGAAGCAACTAACTATCCAATTGAATTTTTAAACTCTTTGGACGTGCCTGGCTTACCACCGCATAATTTACATCTAAAGGTTGGATCCGTAGTAATCATGCTTCGAAACATAAACCAACCAAAACTGTGCAACGGTACGCGTTTGGTGGTTAGAAAACTAATGAACAATGTAATTTACGCTACGATAATGATAGGAAAATTCAAAGGTGAGGAAGTTCTCATACCGAGAATACCGATGATACCAACCGATATGCCGTTTGAATTTAAAAGAATTCAATTTCCGATACGTCTTGCATTTGCCATGACCATCAACAAATCACAAGGCCAATCCTTAAAAGTTTGTGGTTTAAATCTAGAACATTCATGTTTTTCACATGGTCAATTATACGTGGCATGTTCACGGGTCGGAAAACCATCTGCGTTGTTTGTTTTTGCGCCTGATAATAAAACAAAAAATGTCGTGTATTACAAGGCACTTAAGTGAAGAGCAACCTATTTAGTAGGTTTTTAATTTTTTTTGTAATTTTTTCCTATAAAAAAAAAAATCTGCTTATTTATTGCCATTAACGCATACCGTTGCACAATTTTGGTTGGTTTATGTTTCGAAGTATGTTTACTACGGATCCAACCTTTAGATGTAAATTATGCAGTGGTAAGCCAGGCACGTCCAAAGAGTTTAAAAATTTAATTGGATAGTTGGTGGCTTCATCTTCATTTGTGACTCAGTCAATAGATTTGAATGAATGCATTGTTCCAATGATCTTATTTTGAATTATGTAGTTCAGGTCATCAACATCTTTATTCTTAGCCGCTAAAATGGCTCTCTCACTCAACCATTCCTTATTTTTGTAGTTAGAAATAATGTTTGCAAATACATTGTTGATAAGTTCCTTTTTTGATGAGACAAAATTACAAAAATTATTTCGAAATGATATTAATCCGCTCGATTCATCGACAGGTACTTGACCATTGCCGATAGTCAGCAATTGCTTCAAGAAATCTTCAGCAGATGTATCATTAAGCAATGAAACATGGAAGAACAACTTGATCGACGCCTATGTACCAAAATACAGAAATAAAAATTAAATATTAATGTAGGTTTTTGATTATTTTTGTAATTTTTTCCAAAAAAAGGCAGAACAAAGTTCGCCGGGTTTGCTAGTACTTTGATAAAGCCGCAACCTTTATTTTTGACAGAGTTGGATTTATATATTTCTAAAAACAGGTTTAAATGTAAATACTTCAATTAAGCAAAAAATTACATATCTCGATAAATTATTACGTTGTTTCGGATTACTCAGTTAATACTTTAGTCAGTCGATAAAGCAATATGCCGACGTACAAACGTCGAGATCTTTGGAATTAAATGATTACATTTTCAATCCAGTAATACTATACGAATATATTTTAATTTAAACACAACATTTTCATATTACAGTACTAAGTGATTTTTATATAGTCTTCAGAGTACAGCATAATTTCTTGTTGTGTCTCCTGACATTCCTGCACTTCACACCATCCCCTTGATTGTCGTTCCCACCACTTATGACCCATCTCCTATCTTATCTCCCCGCAGCCTCTGCAATCTGTCACAGCAGCAGCAGCAGCAACAGCAACCCCAGCAGCAACAGTCGCACCAGCAGCAGCAGCAGCAACAGCAGCAGCAGCAACAACAGCAGCAGCAGCAATCGCATCCCAGCACCGTGTTGGCCAGCAATGGACCGAGTAGCGCCGGTGCCGGCATGGGTGTCGGTGTGGGCGGAGGAGGAGGCGGCGGCGGGGGAGGGGGCGTTGTGGGGCAGTGCAGTCCGCTGGGACTGCCGCCGCAGAGCCAGCCGCTGCAGCCCACCATCGGATCGCTGGCCTCGCTGAGCGGACACTATGCCAACGGGAACGCGAATCCGAACGTGAATCCGAGCAGCTGCAGCCTGGCCGCCGCCTCCAGCTTCTCGCAGTCGGCGGGCAGCAGCTTCTCCACATATCAGCAGGCGGGAGGCACTGCCTCCGGCGTGTCCGGCGAGGATGGGGTGGTGGTGGGCGGGGCAACTGTGATGTCGCACTGGACGCACGACGGCTCGACCGGATCGAGTGCGGCCGTGAAGTCGGAGTCGCGCAGCCCGGGCCAGGGACACGCCTCCCTGGACAACGGATCGGTGACCAGTGCGAATCTCTACGGCTGCAGTTCCTCCGGGAATCCGCTGGACGGCGGAGCTGCGGCGGCGGTCAACTCCTCGGCGGTGGCGGCGGCAGCGGCGGCGGTCTACGACGGGAAGCACGACTACTACTACTACAACAGCATGCAGCAGTACACCCCGCCTCCGTTCTACTCCGGCTACGGAGCTCCCTACGCGGCGGCCACGGCTGCCCGCCAGGCCAAGATGGAGCCGGGAGCAGCGGCCGCGGCGGCGGCCTACCTCACCCCGAGCTACGCCAGCGGCGGCAACAACAACTCGCAGCTGTACAGCAGTCCGTACGCGGGGTACAACAACTTCGGGCAGCAGGACTACGGCGGCTACTACAACGAGCAGTACGGCAACTACTACAGTCCGGCCAACTACTCGCCGTACGCGGTGAGCTCGCCCAGCTCGAGTGCCAGCCACGGGCACGGGTTCCACGTGGCGGCCTCCTCGAACCTCTCCGAGAGCCCCACGGACACGCACTCGACGACGCCGGTGCACCAGACGACCCACTCGCCGCACTCCCCGCTCCCGATCTCGCCGAGCGCCGGCTCCGGACCGCTGGGACCGCTCGGCAACGTGGCGGCGGCGGCTGCGGCGGCAGCGGCCCTCAACTCCAGCGGCGGCAGCAGCGTGGGCACCTCGGGATCGGGGGGGCGTGGCGAGCAGCAAGACCACGCCCACGGGCAAGACGGGAAGGGCGCGCGGGAGGCGCCACCAGCAGCCGAGTCCCACGAGGAGCACGGCCTCGGACACCGGGAACAGCGAGGCCGTGAAGCCGCCGGAGCGGGTGTTCGTCTGGGACCTGGACGAGACGCTCATCATCTTCCACACGCTGCTGTCGGGCAGCTACGCCAACCGGTACACCAAAGACCACAGCTCGTTGATGACCATCGCCTTCCGCATGGAGGAGATGGTCTTCAACATGGCCGACACGCACTTCTTCTTCAACGAGATCGAGGAGTGCGACCAGGTGCACATCGACGACGTCAGCTCCGACGACAACGGGCAGGACCTGAGCGCCTACAACTTCGCCACCGACGGCTTCCACACGAACACCCCGCCCGGCGCCCCGCCCAACCTCTGCCTGCCCACCGGCGTGAGGGGCGGGGTCGACTGGATGCGCAAGCTCGCCTTCCGCTACCGCAAGATCAAGGACATCTACAACAGCTACCGGGGAAAGTGAGTACATCCAGTTGGGTTTTCTATATTATTAGGGGTGGTCCGAATTATTTTTACTTACTAAAAAAACTAAATTAATTTCGTATTTTTATTATAAATTTCAGAATTTATTCATTTTTTATTTTATTATTTATCTAAGTAAGAAACATTAAAGGTAGACGGATTTAAAAGGGTGAATGGGCTGTACAATTCTTATCCAGTTGTTAGCCATTATAACGCTTCTGTTTTAAGGATTGAAAGAAGTTGCAGAATGTATTATTGGGGAACTCCCTAAGAACTATGTTGTCAAATTACTTAAATTAATATCTTCGAACTATGCATTAACAATTCATTGACAACAATTTAACATTTTTATATATGTCTCCCAATTAGTTCCATTATTTCAGAGGTTTAACTTGTATATTATTCAATCGTTTGTTTAAGAGCCTAAAGTCTTTTAATATTAACATACTTATTTAACTGAAGAATATTGGGAAACTTTTATCAAAAAGCACCAAACTTTATATCACTTCAATAAGGAGCCCATCAACCCATCAATAGTAAATAGAAAGCACTTTAAGCACTGATGGAATAAATACTTATTTATAGGAGATACAATATTATCCAATCCTTTTAACCAAATATTTGTTCCGTTTTTCTTCCAGTGTTGGCACTCTGCTGGGACCCGGAAAGCGCGAGGCCTGGCTGCAGATCCGCTCGGAAATCGAGGTGGCCACGGACAACTGGGCCACGCTGGCGCTCAAGTGCCTGAGCATGATCTCCCAGCGCGAGAACTGCGTCAACGTGCTGGTCACCTCCACGCAGTTGGCCCCGGCGCTGGCCAAGGTCCTGCTCTTCGGGCTGGGCGGGATCTTCAACATCGAGAACATATACAGCGCGCACAAAATCGGTAAGTGACGGCCACCAGATGGATTGGCAGAGATATAACCAGTTTCCCCCTCTTTATTCCAACAGGCCATGAAACCTGCTACGAGCGGATCGTGACGCGCTTCGGACGCAAGAGCACCTACGTGGTGATTGGGGATGGCAACGAGGAGGAGACCGCCGCCAAGGCCATGAACTTCCCCTTCTGGCGCATCTCCGCCCACAGCGACATTCGCGCCCTCTACACTGCCCTCGACATGGGCTTCTTATGAAAGGCCAAACTCTAAATGTAATGGATCTTACAGCCATCTTAGCCCATCATAATCCTCGGCAGCGAAGCGTTTTGAGTACAAACAGCGAAATGTTTAACTAATTTATTTGATGTGTATGTGTGTGTGGGTGCGAGACAGGCAGCGAATGCAAACCGCAAACTGCAAACTGTAAACCAGCGCAAAATAATTTAATTATTTTGTTTGAACGATTATACTTTGACGCCAAGACTTTTTGTATTATATAGTTTTAAAACACCTAATCAACGGTCGTAACAATTCTCGCCCGAAGTTGTTTCACGTGTGTAATTAACGAACTAACGATATACGTATTTAGCACCTTAGAGTAGCAAACAATATCTGGCCGATACCGAGGCAGTATCTCCTGGCGGGAGAGGCGCACTCACAGGTCGATCGGAGCAAACACAACAAAAACTAGTTTAAAGTTCTTAGTTTAAAGCAAAAGCATAACTATAATGATTATAAATAATTCGACAAAGCCGTAGTATTCAAATTTTAAATAACTATTATATAGCTGCATATATTAAACTATATTTAAAATATAAAACCAAGTAATAAAAGAGCAAATCCAACAACAACGCACTCTATTAAAGCATTAATCAGAGCATTTCTTATTTTGGGGTAGAGTGGGATATACCTGAACAACAGTTTAAAAAATGCTCTACTCTTATTTCGGAGCTATCTGGTGTTGTTATAAGTATCATAGTAATTATTTTGCCCTTATACTCGGAGTTTAATTTCTTAACAAGTAATCCCCCAGACCGCAGAAAAAAATTTTGGGGGGTCCGATCGAAAAATTTTGTAGTTTGCAGTGGGGGGAGTCCGATCAAATATTTTTTAGTTTATATGGTTGAAAGACCGTGTGCTGTAAAGGAATTTGAAAAAGTCCGATTTTTTACCCGAACCCCCAGGACCTACCCCCTGCGTCCGCCCCTGCCCCAGACTTCTTCCCGTTTTGAATTTTAATAAAAAACTTTACAGAACCCTTAAATTTTCTAGCTTTTCCATTTCCTTTGACTATTTAGGCCTATTGGATTTTTTTTTGCCCAGTCGCCCCAAACTACACAAATTTAATAAATTCATAAACAATAAAGTAACCCAAGTGCTTTATGCAAAATGCTTATGGCGTAGGCAAATATCGCAGCACACGTATTCAAACGCGCGCCCAAAAACAAACATCATCTGGCCACACTATCGTCAGCGCAATCCTCAGATTTCGATAACAGGTCATCGAAACTCAGCTAAATTCAGTAACCCACCAACACTAGTCGCCAGCTATATAAGCAGAGCCACACTCTAGAGCAGTGTTTCAAACTTCGAAACTTGTCGGTACCGCGTCCTATCTACACGAAAGTTTTAAGATCTATACGACAATTTGGTCCTACCCAAAATCTACTCACGACCCACCAGTGGGTCGCGACCAACACTTAAGGCAATACTGCTCTAGAGTAAGGTTGTGAAAATACATATTAGTATACTAGTAAACCCGAACTCTGTTCCGCCTTAATTGCAATAAATAAGCAGATTGTGTTTTTTATTGGAAAATATTACAAAAAAAAATCAAAATCCTGCATTAATAATTCATTTTTATTTCTGTATTTCCTATCTACACGAAAGTTTTAAGATCTATACGACAATTTGGTCCTACCCAAAATCTACTCACGACCCACCAGTGGGTCGTGACCAACACTTAAGGCAATACTGCTCTAGAGTAAGGTTGTGAAAATATTAGTATACTAGTAAACCCGAACTCTGTTCCGCCTTAATGGCAAAAAATAAGCAGATTGTGTTTTTTATTGGAAAATATTACAAAAAAATCAAAAACCTGCATTAATAATTCATTTTTATTTCTGTATTTTAGTACATTGGTTGCTCTTCACTTAAGAGCCTTGTAATAAACGACATTTTTTGTTTTATTATCAGGCGCAAAAACAAACAACGCAGATGGTTTTTCGACCCGTGAACATGCAACGTGTAATTGACCATGTGAAAAACATGAATGTTCTAGATTTAAACAAATTTTTAAGGACTGGCCTTGTGATTTATTGATGTTCATGGCAAATGCAAGACATATCGGAAATTGAATTCTTTTAAATTCAAACGGAATATCGGTTGGTATCATCGGTATTCTCGGAATGAGAACTTCCTCCCCTTTGAATTTTGCTATCAATATAATATCCATCTTCTCCTTGCCAAAACATTAGCGGGTATTGCAATGCGTCATATGATCGATGAGTTTCAGATATTTGTTGCAGTTGCCCAGTATCGCCACGTTTGAGCACAATATCGCGGTTTCCAAATTGTTCACCAACAATCAGGATGGCGATTTCGTCTATTGTTGGAGCATTAAATGTCCTTTCGTGTGTTCTAGATGGTCGTTTATCTGCTTTTATGACAACTTTATAGTCATCATTTGGCATGCGCTCTAAAGCACTCTTAAACAACCTGACCGTCGCATGATGTTCATGAAGCAGACACTGCAAGTCTTGAAGAATTGCTCGCTTTATCCCTGCATTGATCCCTAGGCGTCGATCAGGTTGTTCTTCAATGTTGCCCATGAAATATATTTGTAAAAATTTTTTTTGTATATCTTCGAAAGGTAGTAATGATCCAATTCGATGGTGAATCTGCCCCTTGTATCTAAGATAAAGTAAGTTATTCTTTAACTATATTCTATGTAATACCAAAAAAAAAAAACCTTAAATGTCGGATTAAATCCTCGTTCTTCGATAATATCTGCCCCAAATGACGTCATTTGGAAACAACCATTGTATATTCGAGTATTTGCAAGAAGGTGGCGTGATTCTTGTGTTTCACCACAAAGCAATGAATACAATGGCTCAGGTGGCGTAGTCAACAATGGCAATTTCACTTTACCATTAAAGCAGCATAAACCAGGCGTTTTTTTCGGAAAACTTCAATGCACCTAGGGTGACCAGGCGTTCGTATTAATACGGACATGTCCGTATTTTCAGCTCTGTGTCCGTTAGTCCGTTTTTTTTGTAAAATGTCCGTATTTTTCTCGTTTTTGACGAAAAAACAGGTTGCACTTGCAACAAGCTTGTGAAATTTAACACGGCATAATGTCCGAGTCACCCGATCGCAAACGCTTGAAAACCACCTCGAATTCAACCAAACGCAAGTGTACATTTACAGAGGAGTTGAGGAAAATCTATTCTCGTATTTTAGCGATGGGAAACCTGCATATTTTGCTCATTGCATTGTTTGTGATTGTGAGGTGTCAGTTGCAAAAAGTGGTTTGTATTTTTGCTTTTTTCCATTTTTTTTTTTGCTCGTTTTGGTTTTTTACTCTCTTCCGCCGCTCTGAGAAGGCCTTTTTTTTGCTTTTTGGCATGAGCTGTCGAAGTTTTACATTCCCTGAGCCTGGTAGCACACATTTCTGCAAATTGTCTGCATTAAAAATTTTGCAGAAATTATAAAATTTTTTTAAAATAACGATTGCGCTGCACTTATACAATCAGAATATTTGAAATGAATCTATAAAATGGGAAATATATGTATGTATGCAGGGTCGAGAAAAGTGTCCGTATTTTCCACTCAAGCTATCTGGTCACCCTAAATGCACCGCGGTACTCGCAAACAACGTCCATTTGCCCAATGCAAACGCTGGGATGCAAGCTGTAATCAGTGATGCAATCGTATTGAAACGCTGCTCGATTCAAATCAGCTCTTGATAAATATCTTCTGCGTCGCAAATTATCTATTTCTTGACCTCTGTTGTAAGCTCGACGATTCTGCATTGTCAACCGAGCCGTGTTACTTTGTTCTTCTGATTGAGAAGCTCGAAGTCGACCCATACTAACGCGGCGCTGTTCACGTGCAATGTTTTGTTCTCCTTCAGTCCTTTCATTTGCAGTATTTTGTAGTTTTCTTGAATTACGGCTTTGTCGGGAAAGATTCGATCGACTTGGTCGCGGCATTATTAATTAAACTTCACTTCACTTCAATTCACTAAAACCACAAAAAACTTCACTTCAATTCACCAAAATCACAATTAACTTCACTTCACTTCAATTCACCAAAATCACATGTAACAGGCTGGGTATTAATTATATATACTAACTTATATTATTGATATCATTATTTTATATTAATCGATTATATTGTAAGCGTTGGTCACACTTCTGATCTCTCGAGAGAGGATGTGCTCTCTCGAGAGAGTAAGAAGTTAAGCATAAACGGGGGTTGAAAGCTAGCTGCCTGCGAGCAGCGAGTTAGTTCGTATTGAATGTTGAATGAGAACAGAATAAAGAAGATCCTGATACACACAAAAATTGAGTTAAAATGCTATGGTAGCGTGTGCTTGTCAGTGTGATGAGGTAATAACTCAGTTTATATGCGATTTTTGGTATGTCGAACGGAATAAAAAGTATCCTATGTCCTATTCCGGGCTCTAAGCTACCTCCCTACCAATTTTCAGCCAAATCTGTTCAGCCGTTCTTGAGTTATAAGTGGTGTAACTAACGCAATTTGCATTTATATATATACAATTATATATATAGATTTATATTTTTTAAATACATTAAATTAATAAGGAAAACGCCCTCGCTTCCAAAAATGTTGCTTGTCTGATGAAAACAACGACGTTATAATTGCTATATTATAGAAGTCATCCGATTTTGATAAAAATTAATCCGAAATTCAATAGTAGTTAGAAAACGCCACCTGGAAGAAATCCGAGTCGATCTGATTAAAAACAACGGCGGGAAAATTTTTTAATTCATTCTCTCCTATGAGAGCTATCCTATATAGTCGCCGGATCCGGTCCGTTCCGACTTATATATTAGGTTATTTGGTAATGGCATACCGGTTTCTTTATTGATTTTTGACCACGATTTTAACATAGTTAGCATTGTCCGATTTAAGGGCAACACTTCATAATGGATAATTCCTCTGATATCCCACCATACACTCAGCAACACCTTCTGAGCCGTCAGTCCTGGCTTTGCCACCGTTTGAGACGACTCACCGTGCTTCAACCAGAATCTTTTACGCTTTATGTTGTCATATGTGATCAGGAGCGTAGCTACCGCCGTATATGCCGTATCAATTATACGGGGCCCCTGGGCCACGAGGGCCCCCAAAATGTGTAAGAGTGTATATTTAAAATTTGATTTTTATTTGTAAAATGGGTAAATAATGTGATAAATAAATATTTCTTCTCACAATATTTTTTATACCCTTGCAGAGCAAAAGGGTATTATAATTTCAGTCAGAAGTTTGCAACGCAGTGAAGGAGACACCTCAGACCCCATAAAGTATATATATTCTTGATCAGCATCACGAGTATAATCAGAATACGTCTGTACGTCTGTCCTTCTGTTCTCCTCTCCGTTTCCGCGCAAACTAGTCTCTCAGTTTTAAAGTTATCTTGCTGAAACTTTCCCAAAAGGTGTGTAGTTATTGCACGCAGTATATAAGTCGGAACGGGCCGGATCGGCCGACTATATCGGATAGCTCCGATACGAGAGAATAAACTAAAAAATTCTCAGACCGTTGTTTTTGATAAGATCGACTTGATTTCTTCAAGATGACGTTTTCTAACTGTTATTGAATTTCGGATTAAATTTGATCAAAATCGGATTACTCTATTATATAGCTGCCATAGGAAAGATCGTGAAATCTATATAGAAATGACTGAAATAAAATGATAACATCGTTGTTTTTTATCCCACGATGATTTTTTGAATATTAAGTTTAAGTGTAAAAAAAAAATCGGACAACTATATCTTATAGCTGCCATAGGAAAAATCGAAAAATCTATATAGAAATAACGGAAATAAAATTATAGCATCATTGGTTTTCATCAGACATGCACGATTTTTGGAATATAGAATTTTCTAACGTCTCTTGAAAAATGAATTAAATTTCAGCAAAATCGGACGACTATATTCATATAGCTGCCATAAACCAGAAAGGAGACCGATCCCGAGGGCAAGTTCGTGAGGCTCTACAACAAGGGAAGCGAGGAGGTGTCTGATCAACGAGAGCGGACCATCGACCACCCACAAGTTCCATCGCTCTGTGAATATCGAGCCGAATGCCACGGTGACCGTCTGGTCGGCGCTCACCAAGCCTTCGCACGAATTTGAACAAAATGCTGTAGTGGACGCAAACGACTTATCAGGATCCTTAACCGATCCAGATTTGTGTGGCTCTGTTCTTCCACCTTCCGAAGTTGTTTTGAGGCACGGGTCTTAGCATTGGCGGTTAATTTGAAAGAAGATCCGAGAAAGCAGCCTAGATTCTCCTTCAAACCTATTTTCACGTCCTACTCCAAAACACCATTAAGAAAACATTAGGTCAATTGTGCCTACAGGTCTTTGATTATGTATTTAGCACGTCGATACAAATAGATCATTGCTTCGTTCGATAACAATACTCGAAAAACAGACGTTTCCAAACGTTTTCGTATCTTTGAGAATTTTATTAACACTTCCAATCAGTGTCGCAAGTGGGAAGAGAAGTTTTTCCAAATTGAAATTAATTGAAACTTATTTAAGATCTACCATTTCTCAAGAACGCTAATGTCATATGGCTACTATTTCGATAAAAAAAAAATGTTCTCCAGTCACTGGAGTTAAAGCAAGAAAAATAAAATTGTAAATTCAGTTGTTCATCTGTATGAATATGAATTATCTTATTCAAAAAACTCAAAAAAAAAGCGGGAATGTTGCTTTTCTAAATAATCAACAGCTTGAAATATTGTTTTAATATTTATTGTTTATTAATAACTTAGTACAAATCAGTGTGCCTGCAGCTCATATAACTCTTTGTCCGCCCATTCAGGGGTTTATTTAACTACAATGCCAGAAGGAAGATCTCTGAAAAAAAAATATATTATGTTCTTTAAAATGATTTCCGGAGCTCTTTTATACTTACTCTGAATCTTGTGAAGAATCGCTTTCACAGGAAATCAAATCATGATTCCTTTTTGTTGAGTGAAATCTCCTCAGTTTATTGGCAGTTTTCATGCTCAGAAAACCCAGTAGGCGGTCCTGGAATTCAATCGCACATGGTCGCAACTGGAATTTGCACTTTTGCCGAATCTCTGGGTTGAGGTAAAATGCCATGTAGTAGTCATGGGCACACTCTTTAAGATCTCTGCCGGCATAATTTTCGTCCGACTGTTGCAGAACTTTCACAATTTCTTTTAAATTCTGCACGCTCCTCTTAAACTGGTCAAAACTAACAATAGAACTATGAAATAATGAAGTGAAAGATTAGAGGAAAGCATATGTGTGAAACGCTTTTGTTGCTCACTTGTTGTTAAGGGAAATGTCTGCGACATTCTTTAAAACACTTTTGACTGCGATGTCATCAAAAGGTCTGCCAAATTCTAGCAACTTGGCTAACGGAGTTCCAACAACTCCGGGAATACAAAGGTGCCCATCCTGCCCAGACCGAAATGTTGTTAATGCCATCAGTTTGATTTGAATCCCACTTACTTTTCGACTTCAACAATCACACCTTCAGATCCTGGTTCCTGGTTTTGTCGTCGGTTTTGTGGATGCTATCGGCGAATGGTGGGGTGGTAGCTGTCAGCCTTTAAAATCCTGAGAGGGTCTTACGGCGATTGCTAGATTCGAAAATTTTGTTTTTAAAAACAAGCACGTATAGGGTCTCATTTTTAGCTTACCACTGAAAAATTTCAATATATTTGGTGTTAACACAGTGAGAGCTTCACTAATAATGAAATTAGGAACAACTTCTCGCAAACTTATATTCAGTTAGGATGATAAGAATTACACCGATTGCTACGATTTGAATATGTTATATTTTTAACGCAACTGCCTGGCATTGAGATCGCTGAAACCATAATTGATATAAAAGTTATTTCGACAATTGGTCAAGCCCTAAAACGTTTTTTTTAAACCCACTATGTCCTCCAAAAATAGTGTTACCCACAAAGATTATCAAAATTGTGTGTTTATACCCTTGCAGAGCAAAAGGGTATTACAATTTCAGTCAGAAGTTTGCAACGCAGTGAAGGAGACACCTCAGACGCCATATAGTATATATATTCTTGATCAGCATCACGAGTAGAATCAGAATACGTCTGTCCGTCTGTCCGTCTGTCCGTTTCCGCGCAAACTAGTCTCCCAGTTTTAAAGCTATCTTGCTGCAACTCTCCCAAAAGGTGTGTAGTTATTGCACGCAGTATATAAGTCGGAACGAGCCGGATCGGCCGACTATATCGGATAGCTCCAATACGAGAGAATGAAATAAAAAATTCTCAGGCCGTTGTTTTTGATCAGATCGACTTGAATTCTTCCAGATGGCGTTTTCTAACTACTATTGAATTTCGGATTAAATTTTATCAAAATCGAATAACTCTATCATATAGCTGCCATAGGAGCGATCGAAAAATATATATAGAAATAATGGAAATAAATTGATAACATCGTTGTTTTTTATCCCACGAGCATGATTTTTTGAACATCAAGTTTTTAAAACTCTTATATTGAGAAAAAAGTTTCATAAAAATCGGACAACTATATCTTATAGCTGCCATAGGAAAGATCGAAAAATCTATATAGAAATAACGTAAATAAAATTGTAACATCGTTGTTTTTCATCAGACAAGCATGATTTTGGAATGTAGAGTTTTCTAACGACTCTTGAATACCGAATTAAATTTCATCAAAATCGGACGAGTATATCATATAGCCGTCATTTGAACAATAGTCGGAAATATAGAAAATGAATAGAAAAATCATCTTAGCTTCGATGTTGTTTAGCCGTTATGTATTTTGTTCGACATATTTGATGACTGCAAGGGTATAAAACCTTCGGTTTGCCGAAGCTTGCTTCCTTTCTTGTTTTCTTTTGTGAAAAATCTTTTCCTCCATATAAGGGCCTCCAAAAAATTTTTTATACGGGGCCCCGACAAGGCACGCTACGCCACTGTATGTGATCCATTTTTCATCACCAGTGACTAACCGAACCAGAATTGAGTCGAGTTTATAACTCATTATAACTCAGTCGAGGGATAACTCATGAGGCGCATTCATCGAGCTTTTTTGTGAAATTTTTCTACTTTAAATACCTATGGACGGTTTCCGTTAGTTAGTTGCAGCTCCTCTTCGATGGTTCTAATAGTCACATGACGATCTCGATCCACTATTTCCATGATTTTATCCCTATCAACGATCACTGGTCGTCCGGAAGGCTTGGGTGTTTCGGTATCAAAATTGCCACTTCGGTATCGCCTAAACCACTGTTCGGCGGTTAGAATCGAAAGTTTGTTATCTCCTAAGACAGCAATAATATGTATGCGAGATTCCCCAGCAGTTTTTCCCCTGAGCTGAAATAAAATTTCACAATTTGCCGAATCAATCATTTGATATGGAAGGAGATTTTCAATTTTGGAATAAACATCCATAGTACTGTTTCCTTCCATTTGAATCCCTTGCGATAGGTATGCCTCCAACAATGCGTCTTCTTCATCAAAAACTAATTTTCCATTTGAGTTTTGGTGAAATTCAGAGTTGTGCACATATTGCCAGTAGGGATAAGACTATATAGTCTGTCCCAAATGGATTTCTGGCCAAACATTCGAATTTTCTTATTCTCGAATCATAAATTTTGTGAAACCGACGAATACTAAACTGAGTTGTATACAAACGCCTTCGTAAGGCAATAAGAGTGTGCCCGAGCCCTCCACTAAGGCAGTCGATGTAGAAAAAGGCCGAAGCATGAGTAAAAGGTTTTGGGAAAATAAGGAATTTTAATTTTTTCGGTCTGAACACTGTGAGAACTTAACTAATAATGAAATTTGGAAAAACTTCTCGCAGCCTTATATACAGTTAGGCTGATAGGAAATTTATCGATTGCTACGATTTGAATATTGTTGTTTTTTAGACAACTGCCTGGCATTGAAATCGCTGAAACCATAAGAATTAGCATCAATTATGGACGCCCCAAAGGTCTTTTTTTCATGTGAGGCAAGTAACAGTACCATTTTGTCCTCTGCCAGAACCTCAAAGGCTTCCTCTACCCGAAGATGTGTTACTCTAACGATAGTGGTTGGCCGAAGTGCTGTCATTTTTGGCAGCAATCCTATTATTATTTGGAAATCCGGATTGTCCTTGTGGAAATATCACATCATTAAAGGCAAAAACAGTATATATGTATATAATATAATATATATATCGAATATCGATATTTTTGGCATTTATGGATTATACGGCCTTACTATTATTTTATGCTTTTTCGCTCTCTTCCTTCTTGGTTCCTTGAACAATAAACACGTGTGTCTGCTATTAAAATTGAAATACTATAAACAAAGTGTTTTTCTTTATTTGCCTATTGGAAATATACAAAACGAGTAATCTAGACAAACCAAGGAGATATTAAAGGATTGATGTCTGTGTTCCACTATCTAAAAGCTCTGCGGAATTATCTATTTCCTATAGATTTTCTGCAGTCCTGGTTATCCAGAATGAACTTGATGCTTGTATCATTAGGTACCTCTTGATTTGGGGCTAAGGGAGATTATGAGGATACGTATAATCTTGACAACCGTTAAATTCTTTCACGTCATTTGCATATTTGACTTTTTTTTAAAGCTGTTTTTATCGTGAACTGCACTTGTAAACAATTAGCCCATATTCATATTCATATTTGTTATTTATTGTTAATATTCAGAATATTGTTAGTTCGTAAGATAAAGCCATGAAGGCAGACTAAATAAGTAGTTAAGATCAAAACCCTAAATGTAAATATTCGCGCCAGAGCTGCAGAGTCGTCCAGTATTAGTCAACAAAGACCAACAGCTGATACGCAGGTGTGATAAGTAGTATACCGATAGGATATGAGTGTTGAATAAGGAGAAAACCGAGCGAAAGGACCGTACACCCTTCCGCGTGACCAAAGCTCATTTTCGTTTCCAAATGGCAGTCAAGGCGAATGGACCTCCAACTCGCCCACAAGGAGCACTGGAAAAGGAAAAAGAATATGAATATGGATAGGAATATGAATATCAATAACTAATAACTAGAAATAGAACGGGGGAGGTTTATCCATCCTCACACCCCTCTCCACCACTGAGGAAATAGTAAACCTCGTCATCTGAGCCAACGAGGCATTGTTGCCACACCGTATAATGACGAAAATTCGCGATCTTTCCATGTGCCATCGCCGAATACAATACCGTCTTCGGTGTCAGTCGAATCATTTTCCTTGCTCTTCCATCTTCCTTGCGCCATCTGATCTGTGTACCGCCAATGCGTTGTTGGCTTTTTTAGTTCGCGGCGGTAAAAGCTTCGAAGATCCTTCCTTTTTTTTTTTTGCAGCGATTCTCTGTAGCTCCCACTAAGATTCGAATCTTCTGCCATGCCATTTTCGATTGGTGGATCCTATCGTGAATGCAGACATGGGAGTCCCATATCGCTGGATTGGCGTCGATCTGCCGCAGGAAGAGCCTCGTCTGGCTCTCGCTCCAAGTGGGTTTCTCAAGACCGTTGTGCATTCTAAAACGATAGTGGTTCTGTGTTGTGAGTCGATTGGATGCGAGCATGGAATTTGGTCTAGTCTTCACATTTCACAATAAACACATTTGGAGTTAGAAAAATACATTTTTAAAAACCGATTGGATACTGAAAAGGTTTTATGTTTGCGAATTTCCAACGGATTTACGGGAAACTGTTTACTTTGCGGTTGGTGCTAGATTCCCTTGTGCGAGCTCGTGAGGTTCTAGCATTTTGTTCCTGAAGGCGCTGCGAGCGGTCGGTGCTTGGTTGTTTCGCGTGAACATGGAGGTTCTTACATTCTGAACTCAGTTTTCTTTGACTCGCAAGGCGATTTTCACCTACTGATGAAGACTCACCATTTCGACGTATTTTGCCCTCGCCTGGGCAAATTGTTAAGAAAGTTGTGGTCATCTGAACACGTCACGATGCCAACAGCATCAATGATCTTCTTGATCGGTTCAGGGAGAATTGTAACTCTGTTACATATTGCTTCAAATGTTGCATCTGCTTGCAATGCAGCACAATGGTCGCTATATCTAGCGTTGATGGGATAGTTACTCTGTATCTTTCGAATTTTCACTTCGAATGTTGCAAGTGCAACTCGGTACAAGGCGTAGATGTTAGGGGTACGGATCTCTGGTGCATATGATACTGAAGTGTAAACCGTTGTTGTCAATGCAAGTCCTATACTTTGCTCTGTGATTTTCCTTTCCACGACACCTCCGAATCTCATCAAGAACCACTTTGCAACTTGGTAATATAAAATATTTTTAATTTTCTATTAAATTGCTCTTTTGACGTGTGTTCTCCAGTATGACTAGCTAGCAGAGCATATCGGTACAAACGTGTTGTACAGTTTATCGCATCTGGTTTTGTTACATGTATGACATACGATGCAACAAAAAAATCCGCGTCCTAAAAATTCTTATCTTCGACGTGCTGTTTATATTCGCTATATCCTGAATTGCCGCCAAAACCCCATTTTCAAATAAACGTCAGCTCATTTAGAAAATCACCTTTAAACTATTTATTAACATCTGTCTGTAGATATAGAATTCGTGGGGCTGTGTGGTTTAATAAACTTTAAAGTTCTACTTCCGCAGTAAAATGCTCTCATAGCATCGTCAAAAATCGGCATCTATTTTTGAATTTATAAAACTTCTGATTATCATGTACTGATGATTTCTAAAATTTGCTTCTGTAATAAGATCTACTACTAAAAGTAATTCGTTATTTACCAATTTCGCAGGCATCTTGGCGACACCGGGTCCCCTCTAAAGCCACATGCTGCTGTATAGAGTTATCTAAGCCATTCATTAGCTCCTTCGCCGTAATACTGATTGATGGTAGGTCTGTTATAAGGGCATCGCAGCCAGAAAGACAAACCGAAATTTCTTTAAAGGATGGTGTATTTTAAAATAAACAGTTTGCAAGGCTCACAACGTTGCAACTGCAATCGACACTTTCTATGCATTTTCGTGGTTTCTTTTTTAGAAAATTTAGCATAATT